TACTGGACTGGGGTCAGCCAGTACCAGCATCAGGAACCAATCACTGCACCTCCCCTCCAGTCCCCTCCCCCTATGAACATCAGCAGTCTCTGCTGAATGCCACTCAGGGGGACCAACAGGCTACCTCGGGGTGGTAGGTCCCACGCATCCTACATTCGGACACTGCTACCGGATGAAAACGGATGGTGGCGAATTCGCTGTCTTGGGGTGTGGTGGACAGTCGTTATCTGGCGCATAAAGGGAATGCACCTCGACAAAAGAGAGGATCAGGCACTGCCAGTGGTGGTTAATTCCTTCATCACCAGTGTTATGTCCTTTCTTTGCTGAGCCAAAAAACGCCCTGCGCACCTAAAGAAACCGAAGCGCGGTGTTCTCTTTTTCGGCTGGTGCCGCCAGTCATTTAGATCTGGTAGGTCGTGCCCCAAAAGTTGCGGCACGTGCATGGCCTTGTTGCAGAAAAATGGCTGGGCAAAGTACTGGTGGCTTGAAGATCCCACTTGTGTTTTGCCAATTAATAGGGAGAGGCTTGAAGATCCCACTTGTGTTTTGCCAATTTTTCTCCATGAAAATGGGAACACCATCACCCCACTCTTCTCCCCTTCGCTTTTCCATGGTAGAGCGGCACTGGAAATTCTGACCTTCTAACAATATTGAGATTTTGGAGAGCCACTGGAAATTCTGACCTTCTCATGATTGAGATTTTGGAGAGGCACTGGAAATTCTGTACCTTCAAATGATTGATTCAGATTTCGAAGAGGCTGTTCACCCCACAAACCCTTTCACCTGTGTTTTGCCAATTTTTCTCGCTGTTTTCTGAAGATCCCAAACTGCATATGCAACTGAATCCAGTCTGTCGCAACACTTCACTTTTATTTATTTATTTATTTATTTATTTATTTATTTATTTACTTATTTTATTTGTTTTGACACTTCACTTTTAACCTCTTTTAACCTCTCTTACTTTGTTAAGGTTCTTTTTTATCTTCTGTTTTTTTTGCTGTGAGTACAAAAATTGCCAAGGTTGGCACACTTGTCTATTTTGCTAGCCTCCGACCGCCTCCCTCATCATCACATGAGCCTACCAGTCCACAGCCCCCCCTCTTTCCTGGCACAATTATGGTGGTTTAGGAGAGGGGGGGGGAAACGGCAGCTTCGCTTTGTTGGATCGAAAACACTTTTTTTTTTTTTTCGGCGGACCTCCGGCAGCCTCCCTCATCACATGAGCCTACCAGTCCACAGGCCCCCCTGCTTCGTGCCGCAACTGTTGGCGGTTTGCTTTGTTGGATTGAAAGCCGAGCTTTGCTGGAGTGCACATTTCTGGTAGTGCAGCAGGAAAAAAAAATGTACCCCTCGAAAGAAGATTCCCGTTGTCACTCTTCCGGCAAAACCATCATCAAAGGGCATAAGGCGATAGCTCTGTGCTTACATGGATTGCAGTTTTGTGTCTCGCACACGAGTCCACAACCTCAGACAAGCTGTGAACTCGTCGCGACTGCAAGGAATGCAGGAAGGTGAAGCCATCTCACAAAATTTACATACTCGTGTCATGGACACCAGTCGTTCACAGGGTAAAAAAACAGGTTTTTTTCAATTATTGGGCAAATTTTCACTTTTTTGTGCGTTTTTTTCTTTTTTTCCTACTGTTGCAATTGTGTCTGGTGACCATTTCTCAATGTGCTGAAGCGTTTTCGTCCACTGGAATTGTCTGTGGCGCCAATTTCCAAAATGGCGCCGAAATTTCTGAAAATCCTCTGACTTAATTTTTTTCATTCAAGTGCACTTTTGCCTCACCGTTTCACCCTTCGTTTTTTTTTTTCTTTTCTTTTTTTGGTGGTTTGTTACTAATGCTTAATATGGTGTCCACTCTATGGAATGATGCAAATTTCGGTTTAACAAAAAAGGCCTTCGGGCGGGTTTTCCTATAAATAGCATCCAAAATAATCGCTGAAATTTTGGGTCTCCGTTAACGACCACTCGGGGGCTGAGTAAACTTAGGAAGGTAACGAAGGATTGGAAATTCATGCGCTATCACTTGTTCGCATGTGACACCGGGACGCAACCGCAACTGGCATGAAGTTTGAATCAAACGTAGTCTTGGGTCCAGACACAAGTTTGAATCAAACGTGTTTGAATCAAACGTAGTCGTTTGAATCAAACATAGTCTTGTTGGGTCCAGACACGAGTTTGAATCAAACGTAGTCGTTTGAATCAAACGTAGTCTTCGGTCCAGACACGAGTTCGAATCAAGCGTAGTCGTTTTCCATCCATCAAAAACTTCTCAGTTCACTGACACCAGTTCTCCCAAACTCTGCGGTGGTGGCCGAGGCGTAAGTGCATAGGCCAGTGGGTGCCCAAGGAGCAAGACATCAGAAGAAGAAGAAAAATTGCGACGGCACTCTAGAGTCGGGAAGGATAGGCGCTTGGGCAGCAAGGCGGAGCGTTCCGAAGCTTAAGATAGAGAGTCGGAGTGTCGGCGCAGCCACCATACACGAAGCCAATTCGAAGTGAAACGCTTTAGGTTCGCGCATCTCACAAGACGTGGCAAAGTAGGGGCGCGCGCGAACGTTAGCAAGCGACCGGGTTCCTTATTGGTTTGGTTGACGCTGGACCCAGGACTCAGTTTTAACTGAGACGACAAGGTAGCAGCCGTTTTAGGCCCAAGTTGTTGTTTCAGACAGGATTTTTTTTTGGTACCCTGAGACAAAGAGCAGGTAACAGAGCAGCAAGGGCTCAACAGAGCAGTAGGAGCTCAACAGCCAGGGCCGTTGAGGACAGGGGCGAGAGTTCGTTTGATCACACCAATTGAAGCTTTGTTAATTGGGTTTTTTGGAAAGCCCGTTTCGAGATGGAAAGGGACGATGGACCTGCTTTACAGCACACTAGCCGAAGACAAAATTTCAGCGTTTATTTTGGATGCTATTTTTAGGACAGCACCCAGTCATTCCAGATGATTTTGTGAGGACTCCCAGCCTCTCTTTTCTTATTCACGTCTTCGCCCGAGTAGAACACCTAGTCATTATAGCCGTGGATTAAACTGTATTTGGTGCAACTTTCAGTCCAGATAAGGCGATAATCACTGGGCGTTCTGTTCCGGTGAAGACGGTAGTAATGAAGTTCCCGGCTCTCCACCCAAAAAAAAAAAAAAAAAAAAAAAAAAAAAAAAAAAAA